CTCTTTCAGGCCTAAGAAAAAAAACAATGTCATGCCACTTAAAAAAAATGTTGCCAAGAAAACTGCATGGATTATATGGGTCCTATAGAGTTGGGTAGACAATAACGTTTAATAATATTAACAATCATCATTATGGAAAATTGACTACTACCTTGTGAGAATGGTAATGCATGTGACTGTGTGTAGTTTTTAAAATTAGCTTAAATTTCAGTTTTGGCCCTGGATGAGGGAGTGTCAAAGTCATGTGTTGCTAAGCCTTGCTATACAAAATAGCAGCTGAAACAGGAATAGTATTAGAGTTTCCTAATGCAGCAGTGTTGCAGGCAAGTGCTTCCCTTTGCCCCTCTATTTGGAGTTTATCTGACATTCACTAAGTTGATCATTTACCTAGTCATAAATTAAGCTAACATTTATCTTGCCATAAGGCAAACAATGCAATATTTATATTTAATTTTGCATAACTGTGTAAATTGACATAAATGCAAACTTTTGCACATCAGTTGGTAAATCTAGGATTTACAGTGTCTGTTTTTCTACTATAGCTATAATCCTGGTTTAAGGATTAAAATGATATTGAGAAATAAAATTTAAAAACTGATGTTATTATCCAAGCCCATATTTTATGTCTATGAGGTAGAAAAGACATTACAAAATTCTAACCTTCATTTAATGCTTATATTTAAACCAAAGAAAAAGAAGTGGGGGGGAGGACACAATGAAAATAATATTAAAAGCTTGGAATACTTATAGATTTAGAATAGTATCCACAATATGATCTAATTAGCAAATTGTCACTGCACCTCTTGTCCAAATATTTTTGAAATAAAACAGGAATCATCGAAGATGGATGTCTATGGTTCTTCTAACAACATTTGAAGGAATCTACGAAGGAGGAACCAGCACATTACTTTTCTACTACAATACAGTAAACATTTGTCCAATCTGGTTTTACTGATCCATATTGACCTATTACAATATCTGTAAAAGGAAGCAGGTGCATTTAAAAAATCTGGAAGTCAATTCAGTAGGCATTTTTATATCAGGCCCATCTTTCAAAACAATTATGAAGAAGCTTTGCTTCAAAGGGAAATTTATATACTGAAAGCTTAATAAAGAACCAGTAAAGAAGAAGAGGATTTCAGCAAGGATGTGGAACAGCAATTTAACTTTCTAATATGACCAGCCCCAGCAAGCTAGTTTCAGATAAATATTATTCATATTCAATTATTTAATGTAAACAACCACTTTAAAGCTTGATGCATAATAAAATTGGTTTGTTGCAGTTTTATGTTTGTTTTCCAATTATTGAAAATATATGCAAAATTAGGAGAATAAATTTTCTGAAAAAGCTGCCTAAAATTATTTAAAATGGATATAATTTGTGTGTTCAATAAACTGTATTGAGGTTGCAAGGGGGATTTGGTTTACCAAATTGGGAATTGTATTATCAAGCAGCAACATTGACATGGTTAAAAGAATGGATTGAACTAAGAAATATAAGGTTGTTAACATTGGAAGGGCATGATCTGCAATTGGGTTGGCATGCCTTTTTGTGGTATGGTAGAAATAAGATACATATTTTCATACACATTATATAAGAAATGCATTGCTATTGATTTGGAAAAAAGTTAAAGATAAATACTATGTGAAAATAGTAATATGGTTATCAACGATGGAAGCTTTAATACACCCAAATGTTTTTAATTTTGGAAATATTGTTAGATACAAGGACGTTAACAGATAAGGGGGAATTAAAAGAGAAATGAGAACTGGAAGGACAGGGGATTGAGATAGATTGGTATATGTATATGCAGATAAGGACAAGATATGAAAAAGATGCTAAATTACATGGTTTCTATATTAAAAGGACTGAGTTAGATAGGATACTCACAGGAACAGAAGAAAACGTAATAAATTTTTTTTATAACTTTTTGTTATATATTGAGTTGGAGGAGGAACCGGTCAAAGAAACAATGATAGCTTGGGGAAGAAATTTTGGACATTCAATTGATCTTGAAAAATGGCAACAACTATGGGAAAGGAATTATAAATTAACGATGTCCATCTCATATACGGAAAACCAATACAATATGTTTTATAGATGGCATATGCCACCGGAGAAGTTAGCAAAAATGTTCAAAGATAGATCAGCGAAATGTTGGAAATGTCACCAGCTACCAGGATCTTATTATCATATCTGGTGGACATGCCCTGAAGCTAAAAAATATTGGACTAAAATTAAAATCTCGCTGGAAGAAATGATACAAATACATATTGAATTCAAACCAGAGTTGTTTCTATTGGCTATTCTATCTGACAAAATTAAAAAGGAATATATTTATTTGATTATACATCTAATAACAGCTGCAAGAATTGTCGATGCTCAAAATTGGAAATTAGAGAAAATACCTTCGGAAGATGAAGTAATAAGAAAGATCTTAGATTGCGCTGAAATGAATCTATTAATTTTATTGATTAAAAATAGGGAAGAATCAGAATACTTTAAAACATGGAATTATTTTCATTCTTGATTGCAAAAGAGATATAAATGATTAATTTTATAAATATATATAAAAAACTTGATAGTAAGAATATGATTATAGTAATGAATTTGTACAATGGTTTTGAAGACAGAAGAAACTGTTGAAACAAGAAGAATAAAATGAACTGAAGAATTCAACACAGGGGAGGGCTGATTGATGTTTTAAATGTTTGTTTTTTTAAAAAATAAATAAAAAACTTTTATTAAAAAAATAAACTGTATGAATTACTATATTTTATATGGAATCTTTGCAGATGTACCTACAATTTCTCCTAGCTTTTCAATTTCTTTCCAGAAACAAACACTAATTTTCTCATGCTATCTCAACAGCTTCCAAATTTCTAGAAATGTTATTTTTTGGTATGCATTCAAACCAAATTCAGACCAAACACTGTACTCACCAACACTGTGTTTGCTTTGGTTGGATTCAGTTCCAGTTTATTGTGTGATCATTTGAAATTGATCACAACAGATTTTGTTAAGACAGTATATCAAACAGCACTACAAAGCCTTTAGAGGACATGCATCCACATGCAGTTGTTAATATTTTGCTGAGATATTGTTTAGCAACCTGCATTTTGCTTAGACATCATCCAAGATTTCTGTATGTTTCTGAAAAAGTTTGAAAAACTGCTACAATCAGAAAGAAAGAATAGCCTATTTCTTTGATATTTGTTGATAAGTGTTGATATCTTTCTGAGATATCTTCAAAACAACACACCCTTAGAACTCTGAGCTTTTATCTGTAATTTATCTGACAATTCAAGCACCAAATGTCCTTGCTTTGCTGCCTACAGATCTCATTACCTGTTGTTGTTTAGCGCCTTGTGATTCTTCATAGCCCAATGGATATAATATTACCAGGACTGTCTGACATTTAACCTACTTCTTGGAGTTCTTATAATATCATATATGTGCAATCATTGGTACTGTCTTGTCATCATGCCTTTGGTAATCAGTTCCTGGCACATATGTACATACAGGAAAGTTTATGTATGTGAGAACAAAGTCATTAGTCATCAGTTCATAAAGGCCCCGAAGGTGACACTGTTGCTGCTTATTTGATTTTATCCTAGAGCAATTTAAACTTTGCTATTCCAGACAGGAAAAATCCTTCATTCGAAATCCTTAGTGATACATTAACATAATTAAGCATGAAATATTTAAGGAAAACCAGAAGATGGAGCTTATACTGTACACTTAACAAAATGGTTCTCAACTAGTAATACAGGTTGTTCTCAACTATGAATCACAAAAATTCTGTTGTTAAGCAAGGCAATTGTTAAGTGAGTTTGGCCCCCATTTTATGACCATATTTGCCACACTTAAGTGAATCACTGCAGTTGTTAAATGAATAATGCAGTTGTTAAGCGAATCTGGCTTCCCCCATTGATTTTGCTTGTTGGAAGCCAGTTGGGAAGATTACAAATGGTGACCACATGAGTGCGAGACACTACAGCCATCATAAATATATGCCGATTCAAATACCTGAATTTTGTTTATTTGACTATGGCGATACTGTAACGGTCCTGTGTGAAAACTGGTCATAACTCACTTTTTTCCAGTGTCGTTTCAACTTCTAAAGGTCATAAAATGAATGGTTGTTATATGGAGGACTACGTGTATATTTCTTGCAAATTATCTTAACAAAACATAGGATAAGGCTTTAGGCTGCCTTGGGTGTCTGGATGGGAAGCAGGCATCAGCCTACAAACTGTAATAGCCCTACTCGCATTGGTAGATTCTGCTGCTAACTTTAGGCGCACTTGGTTGGTTGGCTGACTGGCTGGATTGGGAGCAGGCCAAAGGCATGTAAGGGACTTGTTGGGATTGTAGGGGAGATGGATGGATGCTGCAGTGTCCCTGTGGTTGGTTGAGAGGATGAATAACTGCAGGCGCACCACAGTAGCTATAACTTTGAAACTGGGTCATAGGTAGCTTCTGAGGGAGTCTGTTGTAACTTTGAATGGCCATTAAGTGATCGGTTGTAAGTCAAGGACTACTTGTATAGGCACTCAAATACAGGCAAAGACTGAAATTTTTTGATAGTGTGACTGATAGGATATAAGCACAACTTTACAGCACAATTCTATGTATGTTTACTCAGAAATAAAGCCCAATGCATCCAAAATATAAAATCATTTCATGTCACAGGAAGAATTGCCATCAACAGATGAATAAATTGTACACAAGTGCACAAATGTGTGCTAACAAATTTAGCACTGGAAGTTCAAGAATGTGCAGGCTCAGGTAGATTTCTTTTTATCCATGTTATCAGTCTAGGAAGGAAGGAAGGAAGGGAAAAAAAGAGTACCGTACAGCAAATAAATAACCTGCTGTACAGATGGTATCAATGGAAGGTATTTTATTTCTGAAACCATGGTCAGCACTACCCAGATAGATTGTCAGTAAAAAATTAATTGTACTTCACAAAGACAGGTAGCAATATTGGACTTACTCAGAATAGATTGAACTCATCCTGTTGAGAAACTTGAAAATAAGGACCTCAGGTAAAGTTGAGTACTGTTGAAGTCAATGAGAGTGTAGTTGAAATAACTCAGTAAATAAATGACTTTTTTTTCAACACAAGTATAAGCAATTTTAGTAATTTATCACTTTTTCTTAAAATGCAACAAATTATTTCTGCTTCCCATAGCTCATCTCTTATCTATAAACAAATCTTTACACCTCAACTTAAAATTCTAGTCAACGAAAGTTCCTTAAGATTTACCTTATCTATTTTAACCTTGATCAAATAAACCAACTTTATATTCCTTCCTTTTACTTTTAATAATCTTGATTTTTAATCCCTTCAAATGCCCTAGATTTCTTTTAATTTTTTTCTTGTCCCTTTTCACAAAATCCTTCAAAACTTTAATCTCTTTTATAAATCAGTATAAGAAAGTTATCCAGGTCACTCTTCTGGTGTTATTTGTATACACATTTTAAATATTAAGTTATCCAGGATATTGTATATCCAGTATAGCATCTTTTTCCATATTATTCTTATAACCTGTCATTTTTAAAACCACTTTCAACTCAGTCTCAATCTTGTCAGGTAAAATCTGTTCCTCTTCCATAGTATCTTTTACACAGAATCTATAGAGGCAGATACTATTAAAATTAACTTCTGGGCCCACTGTTAACAAGTATTTGATATGGTTTGATGTATGACCTGCCCCAATTATTACAACTCAAAAGTTGCACATGCCGGAAAGTCCCTAATCTATTTAGATTAAAATGCAAAGATTAGTGGCTTTATATAAGGAGAAGTATTTTTTTGTTATGCTAAGCTCCGTTTCTTGTGTCTGCATGGATAGTCCATGTAATTTTCTATTTAAAAGTGATTCATCAAAGCTGTTTCTTTTTCAATTTGCACTATAAAAGAGATTCTGCTGGGTAAAGGCACCAGACTAGAAACCAGGAGACTGTGAGTTTGTCTTACCTTATGCATGAAAACTAGTTTCGTAACTTTCAGCCAGTCATTCCCTCTTAGCCCAACTCACCTCATAAGGTTGTTGTGGGGAAAATAGGAGAAGGAATGAATATTAGGTATGTTGGCTACCTTGAATTATCTATAAAATAATAAACCTTCAAGTATTAATTAAGCCTGACCATCCTAATGTTTTCCAGATCAACCATAATCCAATTGCTAAATAATGAACATTACTTATAGTTAACAGATCTCCTACCTGGAGTGATTTAATTTTGTTGTTAACTGGATTCTCTGGGCAAATGACAAAACAAAAAAATAGAAGCAAGATTAAAAATCCACACACTGAAGAACAAAACAGAAAAAAGGAAACCAGCAGCAGGAAAAAAGACATATTGTAGATGAATTGACTAGGAGTATGCATATAAGGTACAAAACTCCATGGGAAATATGATTAACTAGTTGAATTGGATACCACTAACATTATCCACTTTCGTCAGAGAGGCCATTCAACATACAGTAAAGTCCAATACATTTGAGAGGTACTGACTAAAGGAAGGCTCATTTAAAGAAATGAGTGGATATGTCTCCTTCAAGAATAAATTAATATGATAGTCCATTAAGATAAGAAGCTTTTTTGGAGCAAAATCCTACATGCTTTTCTCAATCTTTTCCCAACTCAAGTAGTTATACCGTTGAGGTTTTTATTTATTGCTAGCTTAGCAATGCCTTTGCTTCTGTTGCCAGGCAACTCTAGTATAATTTATGCTATTATTTCATCAGGAAGGTCTGAACAGGCCTTTTGCTGTTTCCAGCATTATTACATAGATCACTATAGTTCTTCTCACTGCATAGGAAAAAAGCCATTATAAAATTACATTTAAATTGCATTGAAAAAAATGGGATTTGTTTTAATGTCTTTTAGTAAACAATGAGAAACTTTCTGATAAAATGCAAACTTAGAGATTTCATGCTTATTTAATGAGAATGCAACGAGTACTTTATTAGACACTTTACAATTGCTAAAATAGAAATGTTATTTAAAATCTTTACCATTGTTGAAATACATCTGTCACCCTCTCTTTGATATGTGAAGAAAGCAGAGAAATGTTTCAAGTATTTAATGCAGTTATTTTATCACCACTTTTAACTGTACCTTAAAAATGATGTTTGTTGATGGTATTTAACTTCTTGTTCAATTACAGTCCAGAATCAGTCTCTACATAGCTCTATGATTAACAAATACAAATTGATTTTAGTTGGTCAGTCATTTGTAGCTTGGTATGTCTACAGACTCAACATAGATGATGAAAAGTAATATACCTTTCTGTCTCTTATGTATTGCATCAATTGTGTTATCAACCTGTCTTGCTCTAAACAGTTGTCCACCAATACTGGCAGTAAGAATAAAGTATGCAAGGCAAAAAATGGATCACAGCACTAGGACACTAACACTCTGATAAATGAGTAGAATGAGACCGATTTCCTCTCTTCATTCTGGCTGCCAAGATGCAAGCAATGATTGGATGGATGTACTTTTAGTCTCTCATGTAATATCTGCAGACAGAGCTCCTTTATATCTTCCTGACAATAGCTAGGTGCCTTCCAGGAAATATAATGCAAGAATGGCCTGTTCTGGTGTTATCTGGTTCTGTTATGCAAACTCAGCTACTTTATATTGTAAACCATGTTTATAATATGTGTTGAGTGAACACAACCAATTGTGATTTAATCAGCAATACTTAATGAAGTAAATTGTGGTTTCATGTATGTATGTATGTATGAATCCAGGAAATTATTTTCTCCATAAGGCAGATTTGTTTACAAAAATGAGATTTGTACCATTATTTAATGTGCAACTTCTTTGTGATAGTTCTACATAAAGAAAAAGTTCTGCAAAAATATTGCGTGATCGGAGTTCTTTTATTCAATGCGCTATAGTATAGACTTGGAATGGGTTGATGAATCAGTTATTTAGCAGAGTAGAGTTCTAAATTGGACTAGTTTACTTTTCAAAAACAGAATTTGCCACTTTATGAGAAATGAGCATATTTCAGCCCAAGTATTTGGTTTTGTACTGTGACATATTGTGTTATTACATTTAATATTTCTTGCTTTCTTCAGGTTAGCGTTGGTGAATGCATCTGGCTTTTTGGAACTTATTGGGAAACATAAGTTATTTTATAAAATATTTTGTAAAGAGCCCTTGTGTATACATTAATTTGGGTAGAAACATATTCAAATTATCCAATTTAATATTTTCCAAGCCTCAATTCAAGGGTGGGGGTAAGATAAAAATTAAACAAATAGAAATGCAGATGTCTGTATACTTCAGTATTCAAATTTGGAAGTGTAGGAAATAAACTTTATAATATTCGAAGGATAAACTATATGCATGCACCAATTCTTCTCGGCCCCATATCTTTTCCCAACCACCATTAATTTCCTCTCTACCTTTTCTTCTACTGATTCTGCATCCCCAGCATGGGAAACTGAAGGAGCAAATATCCTACCCTTGAATAAGATTGTTGCACTTACCAGAAATTAAAATATTATAAAGATTTCTAAAGTGGGGAGACTAATGGAGTACGTACTGGAGATCTCTGGCATAAAATATACCGGTAATTTTATTATGAACAAACTACATGATGTAAATCATATGTTGGGATGCTGGGCTTTCCAACCTCTAAAGAAGGGACAGAAATGACCACTTATTTGATCAAACCTATACCTACTGTAAAGCAATGAAATCCTAGTGTCACCTCTTTAGGTGATATTACGCCATCATCTTGCCCAATATATTCCCTATTCCGATGGCTGAATAAGGCTAACAGTCCAGCATTAATGGTTGCTGATCAATATTCATTAATTATATTGTTCATAGTAAAAAAAAATCAACTTTAATCTTAGTTTCATTACTGGGCTAAGACGCTGAGCTTGTTGATCATAAAGTCGGAAGTTTAGTGGTTCAAATCCCTAGTGCTGCGTAACTGAGTGAGCTCCCGTTACTTGTGCCAACCCAGCAGTTCGAAAGCACGTAAAAAATGCTAGTAGAAAAGTAGGGACCACTTTGGTGGGAAGGTAACAATGCTCTGTGTGCCTTCGGCGATTAATCATGGCGGCCACATGACTAGAGAGACGTCTTCAGACAGCGCTGGCTCTTCATCTTAGAAACGGAGATGAGCACAGCCCCTAGAGCCAGAAATGACTAGCCCGCGTGTGCAGGGGAACCTTTACCTTTTTATAGTTGTGAACCGGAAAGAAATGGCATAAAAATGGCAAGACGAAAAAAGTATTCTTGGTTAGAATGGACTAGGACAGTGATGGCGAACCTATGGTGCGCATGCCACAGGTGGCATGTGGAGCCATATCTGTGGGCACATGAGCGTTGCCCTAGCTCAGCTCTAGCGCACATACGTGTGCCGGCCACCTGATTTTCCGGCCATCTGGGCCCACTGGACGTTGGGAAACGGGCTGTTTCTGGCCTCCAGAGAGCCTCCGGGTGGGTGGGAAGGCCGTTTTCACCCTCCCCAAGCTCCTAGAAAGGCTCTGGAGCCTGGGGAGGGCAAAAAATGTGCCTTCTGGTATCACCGTGCCATCGCATGCCAATAGCGGGGGGAGTGTGGGGGAGTCGCACGTACATGCATGGGGGGCAGGGCACATTGAATTATGGGTGCGGGCACGTGTGCACGCAACCCCCCTGGCTCCCCCCGCTTTTGGCACGTGATGACAAAAAGGTTAGCCATCACTGGACTAGGACCTCTCAAATAAGTAGAGACAATCAATCTCCTTTGAGAAAGATTTCTTATGGTGAACAATGAGAGAGCTGGTTTCTAAAAATCATAGAAATACAGAATGCAGTAAAGTAAATATAAGGGACAGACATAAATGAGATACAGGTTTGAATTAAGCATCTGGCTGTGATAAAGAAATGTCTGAAGATACAAGAACTTCACACTATTCTTCTTTCAGAAGGGACACACTTCTAAACATTTGCTTCCTTTGTTCTTTTTACTGATAGCCTTATATAGTATGCTAGAAAGTGCTCCAGCAATGAAATCTTAAATAATCATATACTGAGTATGCATTGAACCACCATATAGAGAAATTAAAAAGACAAAAGGAAAAAGTAAATGTAAAAAAGATGTTTTATTCAGTGATGAAAATATCTAAATATGTTATTATTATTAAAATAAACTAAAGGTGAAAATAAAAATGATGTAACAAAAATATCCATAAACTATAAATAACTGTAAAGGTTATTTTTGGCAAACTTTTCATTAAATCTAGATAGAGTATGTCATTTTCTCATTTTAAGAACACAAAGACTTTTCTAAAATAAATTTTTAAAACAAATTTATATCCTAGAGACATTCCTTAAAATTGGGAGAATAACTTTCTTTCTAATTAGCTAAAATTTTCCTCACTATCATATTTCAGGCTTGCCAGCGCTTAAAATTGCCACAAAGTGGCAAAATCTATATTTTAGGAATATAGTTGAATATTACATTGTTACCCTTAACATTTATAAATACATAAATAATTTTAATAGTAGCATATGCTCTCCAAATAGATCCAGAGGACAGAAAGTATAATATCTTATATAAGTATATACCTTCACCCATCCTCCCCACTGCCTACATACATAGAGATAAGAGAGGGCGGGAAGGAAGACTGAAAGACTGAAATACTTGGGAATCCAGTAGGTTAAATCATATAGTAATCAAAATTTAGCTGAAGATATTATTGGATCTTAGTCTGCAATAAAAATTTTCTCATTAACTTATTATCTAGCTGTCTAAAATATTTACCAGGAATTAACACTGGAATTATTTTTAAGATACACATTAATCCTGATGTAATGTTCATTTTGATAACATTAATTTTACTCCAGTGACTTATTGGGAGTTTTAACCATGTCACAAAATGAAAAGTTAGTGAATCAGATACCTAAAAGCACACTAATTAAGACTCAGGATTAAAATTCTATGTTACTGCTACATGGAATATAACAATAGGATTGTGAGTAGTTTTTAACATACTCTATTGAAATGGATACTATAATTAAATCTGATTCATTTGGGAAGTGGATTCACTTATTTGTTTGGAATAAAACAAGTATGGATGATATGCTACATAATTACAGGTGGTCTTGTTTAATGACCACTTGTTCAGCAACTGTTAGAACTTACAACTGTGCTGAACAAGTGTTAAAGACTGGATCTTTATTATTATTTATTTGTAATATTTGATTGATGGATGATAATGGAAGTTGAGAGATCAAGATCTAGGATGACTGCAGTACCTCAATATGTCTCTATCAAATGTCATTGACAAGTTCAATCAATGTTGGCTCTAAACTATGACCTGGTCTGAAATCCAAGTGCAACAGATGCAGGTAATTTTCTCCACGGCCCTCTGGAGCTATAGTTTGACTACCTTTTCAACAACCATACCTTAAAAAAAAGGAAACTAAACAAAAGCATCTGGAACTGTTGGAAAGCTGCACAGAGCTGTATACATTGAAAGGAGACAAGCAGTTCTTTAACCTGTTGCCATCTTTACTCTTTTTCCATTTATCTCTATGCCTGGGTGGGGGGAGAAATCTGCTTTCTAAAAATATCTTTATATTCTTATGTCTGACAGATATATCAGAACTAATAAGTGAATAACCCTTGAATAGTCACAAATTACAACTGGTGTGCAGTTCAATCAAATGCATAGCCATAGGTCCTCCTTGAACCCTACAAACTGCTCCTTGTCCAGACCTCCTCAAACGAAACGAAAAGATTTCTTCTATCTCATATGAAAGTTTGGTTCGCACTTTTTCTTAAGAGCTTTCTTCAGTTATGATAAGTATTTATATTTATCAGAGAGCTGAATCCCTCAATTACTGCTTCTGAAGCTATCTGTCAGGAGAAGCCTGACAGATAGGTTAATCAGATAACTTTCCAAAAACAATAAGGCACATTTATTGATGTATTGTAAATTTGAAGTATCTATTTTGATTTATATGGTTCCTATATTTGTTCACTGTTTTGTTTTAAACTAGAAATGTACTGTTAAACATTTTTAAAAGAAATTTGTATGTACCGACGTGGATCGGAACAAATGAATTGAATTACTGTCTCCACAAGCATGACTTTGCTTAATTCAGATCTAAAGACCTAAGAAAATAAAAAATCATGTCAATATCTCACCTGATTCAGCAGCAAAATATGAATCCATAATCAATGTCAGACTTGTTTTACATAATAACAGCTTTGTATGTTATTTTAACAAACTACACACAAAAGATCTTAAACTAAGCCAGAATCTAAAAATAAACAGAATCATCTATCCAGATGGTAATTACTTGGATAGAACCATTTATACATGTTATTCTCCCCCTCAAAAAAAATTAGCACCATCGAAAGTCTAAAAAGAACTTAATAAGTTGTACAGAACATGTATATTCAAGTCTATACATATAATAGCTATCAATACATTCACGCTATATGTGTATAATAGTGATACTAATGTGTATAATATATGAACATACAACACATATTAATAAAGAAAATTCCATAACCAAATAATATATATATATATTGTCAGCAGTGATTACCTGAAAATGATTACCATTGTCAGGAGTGGTTGAAAGCTTAAGACCTCTTCAATACTGGGAGAACTCAGATCGATTATGGTTTCAAAGTCAATTTGAAATTCTGTGAGTAAACAGAAGTAGACCAAGCTACCTTATCAGATATACAGTTCTCTACTGAGTTTTTTTACAATTGTAATTTTTTAAAGATATAGTTCAGAGGCTATTTCTATTTTGAAACAATGATGAATCAATGTGACATGGGCGGTGGATAGGTTCGAATTCTCATCTTATCACCTCAGACTTCTTCCACCAACTGCCTCAACTCTCCAGGTGTGTTGAGATAACAATTAAGAACTGTGGGATTTGAGGGGTAGTATGTTGTACTCTTGAAATCTTTAATTTCAAAAACTAAAATATTAATTTTAAAGGTGATCTGGGATCCTCCAGGATCTTCCATTTTGTATTTATTTAAATGTATACCCTGTCCATTTATTGAGAGATATAACCTATATTCTATTCTTTATTGATAATTGGAATCACTAAAAGGTGGGCTTACATAATGCCTGTATTAATGTATAAAACTGAATGATTCAATCAAAATATTATGGTTGAGCATCAAATGAGAAAACAGGCTGCTTTGGGACAACTGTGCAGGGCTTGAGCAATGCATCAAAATTGCCCATTTTTCTAGGAAGTGTATAGGACTAAAATTATTAAAGCATGAAGACACAGACTCTATGATCACTATTCATGCACATAAAAGCTATCAACACAATCTATGCTTGGACATTTTTTTTTTTTTAAAAAAAGCCAAATGAGATCCAGGTCTTGGTCTTTTAATCTTTTTCTAAGCACATCCAGTGGTAGAACTTTCCTGAAGAAACTATTACAAAGGGAGGTTACTTAAAATTCTGAGCTTGAGCTTGTTGTTTATTTCACATTCTCCATGTGTATTCTTGACAACTTTAAAAAGAGAAAGACTGAATTTTTCACACGCCTTGCTATTTTATGATTTAAATGAGTCTTTTTTATTTTACTGATTGTGATCTGAAGCTTGGCAACAAACCCAGAAATTACCCTGAAATAAATTCAGGAAAAAGAAAACAAGCTAAACTTTCCCACAAACAAATCCTTGGAGTGACTGATCCTTAAGAAATATTTTCCCACTTCTTACCATCAGTTCAGTCTGGAGGACATGCTTTAGCTTTGGTTCAGAATTATGAGTGGACTGAATTATACCATTCCCTCTAGATCAGTGGTTCTCAACCTGTGGGTTGGGACCCCTTTGGGGGTCGAACAACCCTTTCACAAGACCATCGGAAAACACATATTTTCAATGGATTTAGGAATAATTTTATGGTTGGGGGGTCACAACATGAGGAACTGTATTAAAGGGTCGCGGCATTAGGAAGGTTGAGACCCACTGCTCTAGATTAAGGATCTGGTTGAATACATACTAAATACTACAGATAGTTCTTGAATTATGACAATTAGGAGAATTTCTACTGCTAAGCAAGAGGGTTGTTAATAGTCATACCCAATTTTGCAACTTTTTTTGCCATGGTTCTTAAACAAATTACTGCAGTTGTTAAGTGAATCGTGCAGTTGTTAAGCAAATACAGATTTCCTCATTGACTTTGCTTGTTAGAAGTTGGCTAAAAAGATCGCAATCACATGAACTTGGAAGGCTAAAACATGCTGGTTGCTGGGCAACCAAATTTTGATCACACAGCTATGTAAATGGTCATAAGCGCAATGACCAGTTGTAAGTCCCTTTTTCAGAGCTGTTGTAATGTCAAAGAATTGCTAAATGAATAATTGTAAGTCTAGAACAACCTGTAATTTGGAGAGTATGAATTTGTGCCTGGGTCCAAAAATTAGATGTGCTCTTATCAATGAACTGTTATAATTCATGTGTCAGATGAAGAAAATTTAAGCAAATTAAACTTAGTTTGAATTTGCATAAATTCAGTTTTGTGTCTCAGAAAGAAGTTCTATCTTCTGAATACTATTACAAAGAAAACTGTCTCATAGACTCACCAAATTAGTCTCTGCTGATAATGAGTCTCTCTCTCTCTCTCTATTTTCTTCTTGAACAACTGCCTATTATGAACTATAGTGAATTCAAAGATCCTGAGTGCACTTACCATATTTCCTATCATGCCTTGAATTCTTCCCATCCTGAGGAAGCTGATACGTCTCTTACAAACCAGTATAGGATCTCAGGGAATGAAGCTTCTAGCAAGATTATTTTGACTTCTTCACCAAAGCATTTCAAGTGTGCTAGGTCAGTGGTCGGCAAATCACGGCTCGCGAGCCACATGCGGCTCTTTGGCCCCTTGAGTGTGGCTCTTCCACAAAATACCAAAAAGTCCACAAAGTGCCGAAAAGTACTTCAGCCGGTGAGAAGAAAGCTGCACATGCGCGAAGATGGTGGCAGTGACCAGAGGTCTTTTCGGCACTGTGCGCCAGTGGCTGGGTAGAAAGATCAAAAGGCACGGAGCAGCCTTTAATTAGGTAAAAGAAAACAAACCATTGAGGGAAGGAGCCCACTGAAGCTGCCGGCGTTGCAGCCCCCCCCTCCCCGCAGCTTGGAGCTCCAAGCGGAAGAAGTCCTCAGCTGTTGCAAAGAAGCGGCAGCTCTGGGTGAGCCATGTCCACTTCTTTCTCTTTGAGAGCTGCTTTGCAAAAAAGGTGCAAAGCAGCTCTCAAAGAGAATGAAGCGGGTGTGGTACACCCAGAGCTGCCACTTCTTTGCAACAGCCGAGGACAGAAGAGTTTGCTCAGGAGTGACGCCAGCAAGGAAGGCGGCTGGGTCAGAGGGAGGTGTAGCCCGAGCTCTCTGGGACGGGTAAACAAGTGTGGGGAGGTGAACGGAAGTGGACTTGGCCCTCCGCGTGTTGCATCCCCCTCCCCCTACTTTTTTAATTGTAGTTAAAAAGAACTAATTAAGTTAATAACAATGTACCTACCTATATAGTTTAAGTTTAAAAAATTTGGCTCTCAAAAGAAATTTCAATTATTGTACTGTTGATATTTGGCTCTGTTGACTAATGAGTTTGCCGACCACTGTGCCAAGTGATGATGGAACAGATGTCTGCTCTCCAAGGTCCTGAAGCCTGATAGTTGAAGAACTGGATAGAAACCTGCTATCTCCACCTTCCCATTTAGTTGCTTCTTGTTGTGTACTCCCCACCATGGCCAGCTTGCCGCAAGGCCAATTCAACACAGGACAGCTCAACACAGGACAGTTCAACACAGGACAATTTATCAATTCAATTTAATTATTTAAAATAAATAAAAAATTTTTAATTTTTATTATTCAGATTTCATTTTGCCCCTCCTTTTACATCCTTTCTTTAATGATTCTATTCCACCATTCCTTTGATATCAGTATAACTCTTGTCTTGCAGTGTGTTGTCCCGCAATAATTTGGCAATGGCAAGTTGTCCCATGGCAAGTTGTCTGCAGCAAGGGATGGATAGGACGTGCCATGCCATTCAGGAATGGCACACAGGGGAGGCAATGCAGGCTGTAAGAGTGTGTGGGGCTGCCCAAGAGCCACTACAACTGGTTGGGTACGGTTGGGTTGTGGTTTGGGAAAGGTGCTTGGGAGTGCACAAGAGGTGCTGCTTTAGTCAGGAAAGATGCACAGGGGGTGGTGTGGGTCAGAACATTGCACTGATATGTGCAAATAAGTGCTCCATAAGTCATTGAATGCATGCATGGGGATGCATGGAAGCCATGGGAGTGGCAGAGGGAAGTTTGTAGGAGAGTGGCATGGGTCAGGAATGGTCTATGGGTGTTCCTTCTTCTGTGTTCCTCTATTCTGTTCCCCTCCCCTTTCCAACAGGCAAGTAAGTGACTGTGGGAGGCTGTAGGGGACGGGAGAGAAAAGATTGTGAGACTGACTGGGAAACAGTCCCAGAATTTTGAAAATGAAGATCATGTGATCTCAGCAGCAGCCAGTAACAATGAAGCAGCCACAACTTTCCCAAAATGTTCTGACCATATTCAGGAGATATAGATCCCAGATTTTGGACACATTCTATAAATCAACCCATTTGAAGTAACTTAGTTAAAAAAATGTGGGCCTATGATGCACCATTTTGCCAAGATAAAGGTCATGACAATGAGAGTTTTAGTAGTATGTAGATTATCTGACTGTCAGTTTGAGCAGATAATGAAATATTTGATGAAACAGGACAGAAATTATTATGCAGGACAGAAATTATTATGTATACCACTAAAGCATATAACAAACAACATGATCATCTCATTTTAGTTTAAGACTATTGTCACACACGGTGCATGATGATTGCATGAATTAACTAATTTGTGAGTCTGTGATTATACTTGTAAGAATTATAACTACTGTGCTATGATTATGTACCCTCAATTTTGCCAAGTCTCTAGTTACAGAACTGTGTCTGCTCTTTTGATTTCACAGCAATTATTTCTGGATAGATTTGCTAAGAAGTTCATTGTCATTCTCATTATAGGAATTTTTTTGGGTGCAGATTCTACTTTGTATCATTCGGAGCCAGTTTGGTCTAATAGTTAAAATCTGAGGCTAGAAACCAGGACATTGTGAGTTCTAATCTCACTTTAGGCATGAAAGTCAACTGGGTGACTTTGGGTCAGTCACTTTCTCAGCCCATGCCAGATTCAGTCAACAAGTCAGTTGGTCAATTCCTGTCACAAGCAATAGACTAATATTCAATGTAGGGGGGAAAAAGCAGACCCAGCACTTGTGGAAAAATGCTAAGAAGGGGAAAAAAAATCATTGTGAGTCATTAGTTTCTATTCTCTAGTGAACACAACACTTCCATTGACTGCCCAAATGCTGCGTCAACATCTGCACCTACATACAGCATTTTACACAAAGAAAAAGAGAAAAATATTCCAACAATGTATTCTGGTCAGCAGAAATTCAAATGAACTATGCACAATGTGTGAACAATATGCAGAGAGATGCATCCAGCTATGCTCTCCTTAGACATCAAGGAATTTTTTTAGGAACAGCTACAGCTAAGGACAGGCGGCAATAAATAATATACATCTAATTAAAACTTACTCTATGTTCAAGGTTAGCACAGGAAAAACTAGGTGAGAAGAAAT